TGTGTCCAGGAGAAAGACTTGCTGGTCACTGGAACCCTCTAGAAAAGAGTTTCCTGAGTGGAACTGAGCATCTCTGACTGGAAGGAAGCTTCCCAGCTGGGGAGGGTGGCCAGTGACTATTGTGGACGTGGTGACGAGAGTTCTTTGTGACAGATTGACCCAGCTGACCCTAAGGTGCCTGTAAACTCAAGGCTCTGCAGGGTGTGGTGTCTGTTATTTTTGACATTCTATATTGGTGCCTTTGACGGTGAAGTACAGTTACGTCTTTTATTGCTGACTCCTTTGAGGATTTCTCAGAAATAACAATTGTTATACTGAGTGTTTTATCTGCAAACCATGTCTGGGCATACACCTTCCTTCCCGTCACTGACCCAGATTCTTGGTTACATCCACCGTTGAATGCTTCCCCAGCCCAGGAGCTGTCCCCTTCCCGGGGGACAGGCTGAGCTGCAGACCTGCGGGGACATGAGCACTGTGGCCATGCCTCTTCTGGGCTCAGCTGCCCAGGGCAGGTGGCATAGCTCACCGTCTCTGACGGCCTCCTCCCTCCTGCCCGGAGAGCTGGAAGTCCCCTCTCCTGTCGCCCAGGGAGTGCTGTCGGCAGGGTGGGGACTTTCAGTTATGTGTACCCAGTCATTTGTTATCTGGAATCGCAGTCTGGGGGAGAGTCCGGCTCGATGCCCCGCTTCCACGGATGCAGGAGCTCCTCAGGCGGGGGCCAGCAGCACACATGTCGCTCTGGACCAGAGACTCCGGCTTCTTCCTGTCATTGTTTTAAAGCTCCAGGGTTTTGCCTGGCCGGTGTGGCGCAGTGGATTGAGCGTCGTCCATGGACGGAGAGGTCCCAGGTCGATTCCCGGTCAGGGCACATGCCTGGGTTGCGGGCTGGATCCCCAGTCGGGGTGTGCAGGAGGCAGCTGATTGATGTTTCTCTCTCACATCGATGTTTTTCTCTCTCGCTCTTCCTTCCTCTCTCTCTAAAAAATCAATAAAAACATAAAAATCAAAAAACAAAAAGACCCCTCCAGGGTTTCGGCTATGAAGGAGTCTTATCTGGCCAGTGGTCCTCTGTGCTGAGCCCGCCTGGGACTAGTGAAGGGGCAGGAAGCCGGGGACGAGCTGGTGGGGAGGCCGCGGGAGCAGGAAGGCCCCGCTGGACTCAGTTACTTCTGTCCTCAGCTCAGGACCTGCCTCTTTAGCGAAAATCAGAGTGGAAATCTGGAAGGTGCTCTGCTCCCGGTTTAAATGTCAGGTTGCTTCACAGCTTTGGGGATCTCAGGGTCACTGACACAGAGGAGCTGGGAGGCCCCAGGTAGATGGCCTGTGTCACCATCCCTGGGAGGTGCCTTACACAGGATTCCTGGTGTGTTAGCTCCTACCCAGGTCTCTTTATTTGCAGAATAAAGGTCACTTTCAGTCAAGATTATAAACTACACATTTTCCTGGTCGATTAATAATAAATGACTAATAGCTTCTGTACCAGGAACCCACAGAGACTAAATGTCTGTTAATAAGCATTGTGCATGTAATTCCCTTCTGATCGCTCAGTGCAGATGAGGAACTCCTAGGGAAGGCCTGTGGGGGGGGGGGGGGATAAATATCAGCTCCTGGGTTTCGCTCGTGCACTTGTTCTAAGGCCAGTCCCCTCTGCATTTCTGCTCCGGAAGCTCGGACTCAGCACACGTGGTTCACAACAACAGTGAGATTCTCATTCCCAGCCTCGCAGTGCTGCTCCCCCTGGTTTCCGCACAGTGGCCTGGAATTTACGCATCCCCCGAGTTCTCATTTCCCGCCCTGGACAGAGGAGCCCTCCCTGGTGTCAGTCCTCACGGGAGTGGTGGCCCCGGACTCGGAGAAACATTCTCCTCACCTCTGGGGACATTCTGCCCAGAAAAGGCATATGGTTAGTACTGGAAGCCCAAAGTAGCTGTTTTCTTTTTGCCTTATTTTCTGCATTTGTGCTAAAGATGGCACTTTATTTAGCTTTAAATATTTAAAAAATTTTGTGTTATTAGGGTCTTACTTTTTCTGGTAGTAAATTGACTTTCTGGTTTTAATGCAAAATGTTGTAACTCTGAGGTTTAAGTGTCATTCATTGGTAACCCTTTATTTTGACCTTATCACAAAGGAGTAGTAATCGATTTGCCAGGAAGAGGACACAGTGTAAGCATCACCACCCATTCACGAGCGATGCAGTTCCCTGTGGTCATAGATTCCCCCTCTGCCCACCCCCAAAACTCCTCCCTGACTCCACTTCTTGAAAAGCTGTGGCCTTGAATAAGCTCAGTGAGTGTGGTGACCTGGGGGGCCTCCCTGCACACCAGGCCAGTGCTGGAGACGGAGCAGGTGTGCCGCAGCCACTGAAGACCCAGACCCAGACCCCAGCACAGCCACGCCGTGGACACCGGAGCGGACGGAAGAGTGTCCCGGCCGCAGAGACCGGTGAGGTGGGAACATGGTGATGTCGGCCCTGTGCTTGACCCCTGGCAGTGCCTAAGGTGTCTCATGGCCTCGTGACACTGGGGGGAAGCCAGCCGCTAACTCTGCAGGAGTCTCACACTGTGTGGTCAAGGCCCCCGACCACCCCGACAGCCAGGCAAGGACCCGACCAGACCCCTGGACTCTGTCCAGAAGGAAACGCGGGTCCTGGCTTTCCTGCAGGCTGCCCCGGGGCAGACGCGTCTAGAACGCAGGGGCCACGCCGCTGCCCGCGCTCGTCGGCTCGGCTGCTGCTCAGGCCGAACGAGCACCTTCATCAGACCTTCAGGAAAATAGAGAGCGAGCTGTAGGAGAAAACAGAAAGTCAGAATATTCAGAGAACAGAGTGGTTATCCGTCGTAAACCTCGTTAATATGTGTGGAGCATTTAGTAAGAGCAGACCTCACATTAACTAAGGTCTAGAAGATACACACGGATGTGCAGCAGGCAGTTCTGGGTGTCGGGACCAGGAGAGACCAGAGCAGACGCCACCTCCTGGCGGAGCCGAGTGCTTCTCTGCGGGGCGGAGAGAGGGGAGACGCGGCAGAGTCGGGAGGGGCACAGCACTAAACCAGCAGCACCGTGGGATCCAGTTGCAAGTCAGCGATGAGAGGACAGGGTAACTCAGCAGCCTTAACAGTTCCGATTGGAACCGGGGATCGTGTCAGAGCTTGAAAAAAGATGTCTTTCAGAGGAAAGGGAGTGTATTCTCACAGATAACCTGAGAAGCCGAATGGCCTTTCAAAGTAAAAGGAATTGCTTCTTTTATGAACAATAAATCACCAAGGAGACGGGCCCTGCCCGGTTTGCTCAGTGGTTAGAGCATCGGCCCGTGGACCAAAGAGTCGCAGGTTCGATTCTGGTCAAGGGCACGTACCTTGGTTGTGGTTCATCCCGGTCCTGGTCAGGGTTGTGCGGGAGGCAACCAGGCATTGTGTCTCTCCCCACCCCACTCTGTTTGAAGATAAATGGAAAATAATACTCAAGTGAGGATTAGGAAAACAACTGAGGAGACAGAAACTCTAGGAAACCCAAAATGCTGTCCAGGAAAGGAGTGATTCAACGTAAACCGAGGTCGGTGGGGGTTAGTTTTCTGCATCATCTTGGCTGACCACGTGCGCCCAGGGTACTTGTTCTTCCTGGAGTGTCAGGGGGTGTTTGCAGGTGCGGTCAGCATTAGATGGGTGGATTCAGTAAAGCAGCCTGCCTCCCCAGTGTGGGTCCACTCACATTGGACCCACTGAGGCCCGTATGCAAGGAGTTCATCCCTTTTCCCGCCTGGCTGGTGGACCTGGGACGTTTCCTCTCAGTCTGTGTTGGCTGCGGTTCACGCCAGCCCCCTGGGTCCCTGCCTCTGGACTCGATGGAGCCACACCACCAGCTGTCCTGGTCTCCAGCTCCCAGACGGCAGGTCATGGGACTTCCCGGCCTTGGGAGCCAGTCCCTCGTCTCTCCACACCCTACTGTTCTGTCTCACGGGGACCCTGCCTGATACAGGTGATTCAGAGCAGTTTCTGGACGTGGAGACATTTGAAGTTGGGGCTCGCAGTGGTCTCCTTTCAATGACAGACCTGAAAACGAAGTACCCCTTTTCTCTCTCAAGCCTGGCACACTGCTCAGCTCTGCAGTGCCTCACGTGGTCACTGTCATGAGGAACTGAATCCGAACTCACTGCCTGCGCAGGTCACTGTGATGCACTGGCTTCAGGGGAGAGTGTGAAAGGCAAGGCCTCGGCCAGCTGGCGTGGGACCCCAGCAACTGAGGTCAGAGAGGAACCCAGACCAAACTGGGTCCCGAGAATATGCGTGGCAGAGTGGTACACTGCGCAGAATCGTGGCCTTTATCGGTTGAGTATAGATAAACGAATGAAGCATTTGGCCCTAGGAATTGTTGAAAACTGGTAAGAAGACAGGTTAAGAAGTTGGTTCTTTCCCTGGCCAGTTTGGCTCAGTGGTTAGAGTGTCGGCCTGCAGACCAGAGTCCTGGGTTCGGTTCCTGCTAAGGGCACGGACCTCAGTTGCAGTTCATCCCCAGCCCTGGTTGGGGTCATGTGGGTGGCAACCATTCTATGTGTCTCTCTCACATCGATGTTTCTCTCTCTTCCTCCCTCTCTTCCTCCCGCTCTATCTGAAGGTAAATGCAAAAATGTCCTCGGGTGAGGATTAAAACCAAGAAGTTGGTTCTTGTACCTTGGACACAGGGCGCACAAGGCGGCGTGGCCCCGCATCGGGGCCTGAGCTCCAGCGCTGGGCGTCATGCACTCAGGAGCTCCCCAGCACGACTGTGGGACCCTGAACCACTAAGTGAATTGCCGTCTGTGCACAGGCTGCCCAGCTCTCCAGTTCCGAGTGAGTCAGAAGTGCTATGAAGGTGCCTGGTTTCAGGCTCGGGGGACCTTCTGCCTGCCCCCAACAGGCACTGTTTCTGGGCAGCAGGAGGCAGCACGGACTCGCATCGCCCACCTGGTCCCACACACCTGCCGTGCGGGGCGCTGTGTCACCTCGCCTGTCTCTTCCTTCCAGGCATCAGCAACGCGGAAGCACGGCAGCCGGGGAAGGCACCCAACTTCAGCGTCAACTGGACGGTGGGCGACTCGGCCATTGAGGTCATCAATGCCACGACGGGCAAGGACGAGCTGGGCCGAGCGTCGCGCCTGTGTAAGCACGCATTGTACTGTCGCTGGATGCGTGTGCACGGCAAGGTACTGAGGCGCCCCCATGGCGACGTCCGCCCCACTCCCCACTGCTGTCCATCCTGTCACAGCCCCGCCACTGTCCACTGTCCACGGGACCCTTCCTACCTGTTCCTTCTGGTGGTGTTCAGCCTGAGGTCTGGCCCCGGCTCTTCAAATGTAAAGCAGCTCAGCCCCAGAGGCAGCTGTTCCTCCCCTGCCCCCCGCTGGGGCCCTGCTGTGGGCTGTTAAACCCGCCAGGAAGGATTGTAGACCTTTTTCCTGCAGCAGGCCCTTTTCCCCCAGATAAAACCTCGTATAGTAAATCCGTATATTACTAGTTTTCGTTGATGTGTGAGCCCAGTTTGTAGTGTTTGTTGGTTCTGAAGCTGGCATTGAACTTGCTGTGGGGAATTGGCGGGGTGCAGGAGCTCACGGGGAGGTAGCCAGCCAGTGGGGGAGGGGCACTCCAGTGATCGATGTACATGACACCGTGGTTTCTAAATAGCTGCAGTGTTGAAAATGGACGTTTGAATCAACTGTTTGTTTGTGGGTGGCCAGAGCTCTGCTGTTTGTCCCCGGGCAGGAGCACGGGCGGAGGGGTGGCCAGGCTGTGTTCCATGTGGGGACCGTCCCTCTGTGGAGGCACCTTCACCTGGTGGCCCCACCCCCAGAAGCCAGAATTTTTTAACATCCTTTTGAGGTTTAGCTTCTCCTGTTACTTCTTAAATGGCTGTACTTGTGCTTTATCTCCGCACAGGTTCCCTCCAGCTTGCTGCGCTCCAAGATCAGCAAACCGAACATGTACCACGAGTCCAAACTGGTGGCGAAGGAGTACCAGGCGGCCAAGGCCTGCCTGTTCCGGGCGTTCGTCAAGGCGGGGCTGGGCGCCTGGGTGGAGAAGCCCACAGAGCAGGACCAGTTCTCTCTCACACCCTGACTCGGCGGGGACCTGGAGGTGCCTGGTGTCCAGCACTGTCCCGAAACCTCCCCACTGAGCTGGGGACAGCACGCAGCTGGGCGGGGGTCCGGCGCCGCCCCCGGCACAGCTCCCCGTTCCGTGACCCAGTGACTGCTCTCCATCTCAGTTTACGATAGAAGTTGAGTTCTACTGAGTAGGGCTTCCTTAAGCTTAGGAAATAGCAATCACTTCGTGTGAAATTCTTGAATAAATAATTTATTCAGAGCTAGGAACATGATTTATAAACTAAGAAGTAATTATGCCAGGCTTGTCTATGCCACATTATTCTAGTTGCAAAAAAGCATTTAGCTAAGGAGGAAGAGAGAGGTAGAGGTAGGAAGTAGTAAGCTAGGGAAAGTCCCCCGCCCAGACTTCCACACCCCGCTCCCTGGGCGGGTGCTGGGCCTGCCCCGAGAAGGCCCACGGCTCAGCCGGTCCCGTAGCCTCAGCTGCTCCAAAGCTTCTGTGCTCCTTGTAGGATCATATCACAGGAAACTTTTCTTAGTTTACTTCTAAATAAATGGGGCCATTCATTTGGGGTTTAAAACAGTATTTAACTCCCAGGGACGAGCAGGAGTGCTGGTTACCTAGTTAACCAGCAGGGTTACCGAACAACAGCCAGCCTGAGCTCGCACCCTCCTCTGAGTCCGAGGGACGTAAACGAGCACCCAGAGGTCTTCGTGGGACGGAAAGAGAATTAAATGCGTAGATACTCATTTTGGAAAACCCCACTGAGGGCATATTGTAAAATTATTCTTTCCAGCTTGACCAATGGCGTGTTACGAGGAAGTGTGCAGGCCGAGAGCTACGCAGTGGGCCGCGGGCGTGGACAGGGTGTGGTGGCGTCATGGCAGGGACGGGGTGCTGCTGGCATCTGGGGGCACCCAGGGTTCTGCCCAGCACCCTACAGCACACAGGATGGCCCCGGGCAGGTGGGCCAGGGGTTGGGGCAGGTCGAAGCCCCGGTGCCTGCAGCCTGAGCTCAGACCCATACCAGCTACCCGACGCTGCCCGACTCTCTGCTCAGGGTCGGCGTGGAGCGGGTGGAGGAAGTGCTTCCCCCTGGCGGCTGATTCGTGGTTCTGCAGGGGTCCTGTGGGTGCCACGGGTAGAAACAGGGCATGGCCCACCCCACAGCAAAGTCCAGGGTGTCGACAGCTGTGTGGCATCAGCTTTGTACTCAGTGTCCGGTGACCTTAGGCCCAGAAAGTGCAGGCTAGGAGCAGAGCATGGAGCCCTGCAGGGGTCACATCCCTCGGGGTGCGTCCTGGGGGGCGGGCCGCACATCGTCAGGACGAGTGTCACCCACACCAGCATTCCCCCTTGTGTAGAGGGGTCGCTCATCCTGAGCCCGTCGGAGGGTGGGCCCAGGCCCCGTCACGGGTCTGGTCTGGTGGCCATGCGCTGGCGTTTTTATCCAGCCCCGCCCCGAGCAGGCTTCCCACACGCTGAAGAACGTCATGGGAGGCCCTGTGATTTTATTCTTCTGTCTATAAATGGTATTTTTTCTAATGGGGATTGGGAGATGGACTTAGTTTTTAAAAAAGATGTGGATTTTGATGACAAAGCCCAAGGGAAATACATTCCATAGACAAGTCCTGTCCCTTGTGTCTGGCTTTCCCTCTGTCGGATGCTGGTTGAAGTCAGCGTGAGTCTCCCTCCCGCCTTACCGTGAGCTGTGCCCTGGTCCCCGAGCTGCCCTCTCCTGGGCTGGGTTTGTGTGACTGACCTGGGCAGGCCGGGTGCAGGGCTCGGCCCCAAGGGCACCCAGGTCTGGACTGAGGTTGCCGGGGAGGAAGGCAGGAGGTCAGAAGGTCAGGAGGCCTGCCCAGCCCCTGCTCCTGGGACCAGGCAGCCCCTAGGACAGGACAGCTGGAGCCACCCCTCTGTGAGCAGGGAAGGGGGGAAGGTTTTTTAGCTCCTGCAGGAGACAAAGCACTTTAAACTGTCCCGTCGGAGCTCACTGTGCATCAGACACACGGCCGTTCCTTGGGGCATTCATTTGCATCCAGTGTCCTCAGTCTGGACTTCAGAGACTTCACAGAGAAGTTGACACAACCAAGGACTGTTTTGTTTTGTTTGTTTTTTTTGAGAAAAATGTTAAGTTTTGAGGACTTCTGACCAGTGGGGGTTGGGAGGGTTTTGTTCTGTTTAGTTAGCTAAACTGAGTATCGTCCCACAAGAACACTGGTCATTGTCCAGGCCACCAGGCAGCTGGCCTGCGGTGGGAGGGCCGAGGGGAAGGGAAGCCCCGGGGGCGACGCCCTGCCCTGGGCCAGGCTCCCGCTGGGCCGAGGTGGGGGACGCGTCCTCGCCACTGGCTCAGCCCCCACCTGCTCAGGGTCAGCTCTCACCTCCTCAGGCAGGGGCACCAAAGAACTGCAGTTCTGATTCTGGGTGTGAATTTAACTTCATCATCTTTTCCTGTTTCGGAGGTTTTTATTGTAATCAAAAGCAGTTGTTTTAAAATGTCCGAGCCAACATCTCAGAAGGTATTGATTTCTCTGGGATTTATTTGTATTCAAGTCATTTCCTTGGTCTCCCGACTCTAATCCCTGTGGAGACGTGCTCTGTGCAGTGAGCTCTGGTGGCGGGGAGCCACACGCTCGTCCCCTCCGCAGGTCTGAGAACGACGGGCGGCGGCCAAGCGAGGTGCGCACCCCTCTCCTCACAGAAAACAGAAACTACAACCAGGTGGATCTCTTCATTTCTGAAACACCTACGCCAACACACAAGGTCTGCCCCAGCCGTGAATTTGATCCAACATGAGAAACAGAATTAGCTGGTTTCCCATCTCTAAATTCTACGAAATCTCAGAGGGTTTCTCTTCACCGCCCCAACTGTGTAAACGGGAAGGCAGAGTCCTTGTGATCGTGTGCGTCCAGTTTTGTGTGTCCTTGTCCCTGGTGCGTCCTGTGACCACCTCTCCTGCCCGCAGCACACAGTATGTCCACACAGCGGGCTGGTGGGAGGGGACAGGGTCTGACCTGGTCGAGACTCGGTGTCCCGTTCTGGCAGCGTTGGTGACTTCCCCGTTCACTGTCTGGAGGGACGAGCTTCCAGCCCGAGAACACCTGTTCGGGCTCCAGCGGGGTCTGATGGTGCCCAAGGAGCTGAGGGTGTCCTGGATGTGACCACGAACAGCTAAAGGCACAATCTGTGGGATGTTGGTGGAGTGAGCCCTGAAAAGTCTTGGCTTCTCCAGACTTTAGGTTGTATGCTTTTAATTTGACTGCAGAATTTGGACACTTTATATGAATGTAATTCAGCCAAGAAAGATACACTCGTCAGTGTTCTCATATGTATATCGATGTATATACCACACGTTACCACCCGCATGAGCTCCTCGCACACCAAGACCTGTGGGACCGAGCATGAGACGCTGTCACGTAGACAAAGGATTTGCAATGTCCTCAATAAAACAAAGCGTTTCACTACCGCAGCGTTGCAGTTTGTCCTCCTGATCCCTTCTCTCCTTGGTCCGCTGGCAGGTCGGGTCGGGGTCAGCGCGTGAGCTTCGGTTGGAGGGTGTGGGCGAGTGGCCGCTGAGCTGCGGCTGCTGTTGGCCTAGTCCGCCCTGCTGTACCTGCACCGCCTCATCAGGGGACAGGCTCTCCGCCTCCCCTCCCCCCTCAGATTCTTGGCTTTTTCACCATTTTCCTGAGCATGTTAGCGGCTCCCACATACAAGGAGTGCAGAGGACAGAGCGGCCCTTGCTCAGTCCCCATAAAGAGAGATGATGACATAAGCCCAGTTATGTCTGTTTAGTTCAAGGTCACTCAAGGGCAATGTGGATGGGGGAGGAGGGACACGGTTCACACAGGGAATTCGGCCCAGTGGGGACCACACACACAGCGCTGGGGCCCGGCGGGGACCACACACACAGGGCACTGGGGCCGGCGGGGACCACACACACAGGGCGCTGGGGCCGGCGGGGACCACATACACAGGGCGCTGGGCCCGGAGGGGACCACACACACACGGCGCTGGGCCCGGCGGGGACCACACACACAGGGCACTGGGGCCGGCGGGGACCACACACACAGGGCGCTGGGCCCGGCGGGGACCACACACACAGGGCGCTGGGCCCGGCGGGGACCACACACACAGGGCGCTGGGGCCGGCGGGGACCATACACAGGGTGCTGGGCCCGGCGGGGACCACACACAGGGCGCTGGGGCCAGTGGGGGCCACACACACAGGGTGCTGGGCCCGGCAGGGGCCACACACAGGGCGCTGGGCCCGGCGGGGACCATACACACAGGGCGCTGGGCCCGGCGGGGGCCACACACAGGGCCCTGGGTCCCAGTGAAACAATACAGCTACCAACTGACAAGGTAGAACTGTTATTCAGGACTAACGTCCCAGAAAGACATTCACAGTAAAGCAAATGGAAAACTGGCTGCAAGGCAGCCCTAGATCCAGTGGCCATGAAGTGCGGACACTTCAGGTAAGTTCATGGGCCCTGGGAGGATCTGCAAGGGACCGAGGCTGGTCCCCATGTGTGGATGATGGGGTTGGGGGTGATTTTTATTTTTCTTATCTATCTGTCAATGTGTCTATAATTAAAAGAGACAAGGAAATGTTTTGAAAAGTCAAAAGCCCCATACAAATAAAAAGCCATTATAGACAAAAAACTTGTTCTATTGCATTAATTTTAAATCTGTTCTTTTCACACAATAAAAGCATTATTAAAATGAAAAACATTTGTATTTTTTAAAAGATAAATAAGCTTCAGTGAAAAGACGGGAAGGGAGGGCGACATCTTACAAGTTCGGTTGGGGTCCCCGTGGTGTCGTCAGTGACAGTGCACGGCGTCAGACACTGTGTCGGGTTCAACTGTCCAGTGCTGGAGCAGATCTGAGCTTGACAAAGACCACCACCCTCGAGGGGCTGTGTTCTTCTGGGGGAGGACTGACAAACTCACTGGACAGATGGATGCCCGGCAGAAGCCCAGAAACCAAGAAGAGGCAGGGAAGGGTGGGCTGGGCCTCGCTGGGAAGATTTGGAGGCTGAAAGAGCAATTGTGTGATAAATCATTAAACTCTTTAATAATTGTTAGCTAAAATGTAAAATGAAACATTAAATGTTAATTCTTTAATCATTATCAGTAAATTGTGTAGTGAAGGCAGAGGGAGCTGACAGGTTTGGGGCGGTGAGGCTGCAGCTCCAGGAATTTGGGAGCAGTGGTTGGACACAACCATTGGTTAAAATCACACTGTATAAACTCACAATTATATGAACAACCAAGGTAATGAGTGAATGCTCAGAACGCATCACCTGTGCTTATTCTGCCACATTTTCCTGCCATCTGTCCCCCATTGTGCACAGGCCACAGATGCTGGGCACCCCCACCCCGTCCACCCTCACGTCGGCCCCCGGAACCAGTCCTGGGACCCTGCAGATGCCCGCTTGGGGTCTGGTCTCAACCTAAGAAGGTGATGCAGAACACAAGATTACATTTACAATGCCCCAGTGACATCATGAATGGCACAAAAACTTGACGACGTTCTTGCAACATCTGAAACTATCCCCCATGTGAGCAAAAGAGCCACGGGGGGGCCAGCAAGGCCCGGCATGTGGCCGGTGACTGCACCAGCATCGTCGGCTGGAACATGCACCTGCGTTGCCGTGACAACCACACTGGTCCATCGGGCTCAGGCCGGTGCCGGCTATGGGGGCCAGCACCCAACAGAACTACACTGCCTAGGAAGACCCGGGGGCTCTGTGGGATTTATGATAGTGTACTGTATATTTTAGTGTTATTTATTTATTTTTTATCCTCACCTGAGGACATTTTTTTATTTTTTGTTCAGATAAAGTGGGAGGGGGAGAGAGAGAGAAACATCGACGTGAAACAGACACATCGAGTGGCTGCCACCCGCATGACCCAACCAGAGCCGGGGACAAACTGCAACCGAGGTACGCGCCCTTAGCGGGAACCGAACCCGGGTCTCTCTGGACAGCAGGCTGACGCTCTAACTGCTGAGCCAAACCGGCCAGGGCTGTTACTTATTTTTAATTGTTATTAAAGTGTGCTGCATCTTCATATCTATAAAACTGACAATAACTGTATGTACTCATACATATGCATATTGAGTAATGGGTTAAGCAGGTGCCAGCACCCCTGAGCGCAGGTGCCCTCCAGAGCAACATCAGGCACTGCCACAGTCCTGTGCGGGTCCGGGCCAAGTCAGGGTTAGTCAGACTCTGCAGCTGCTTCCCCTCCTACAGCAGCAGAGGGTGACACGGACACGAAGGACGAGGAGTAACCGTGAACAGTGGGGTGCGGAGCTCCCACCTTGGGCTCAGCTGCCCTTCCTCCCCCTTGGCTCCCTGGGTGCTGAGGTCTCGCCTTCCCCTACACACCACCTGAGCAAGTAGCCAAAAACCCAGGAAAATGACCTCATAAGGAGAAATAAGACATTTGAAGAGTATAACTATTTGGTGTTTTTTTTGTTTTGTTTTGTTTTTTATCCTCACCTGAGGACATTTTTGCATTTATCTTCAGATAGAGCGGGAGGGAGGGAGAGAGAGAGAGAGAGAGAAACATCAATGTGAGAGAGTCACATCAACTGGCTGCCACCCACACGACCCCAACCAGGGTGGGGACAAACTGCAAACTGAGGTACATGCCCTTAGCGGGAACCGAACCCAGTACTCTCTGGTCTGCAGGCCGACGCTCTAACCGCTGAGTCAAACGGGCCAAGGCAAGTATAGCTATTTGAATATAAAAATGGTAATATTGAATTAGAGATTGCTTCAGAATATATTCTAATGTTTTAGAACAGACATTTAAAATGAACCTCACATTCTAAGAGATAAGAAAACAAGAGAACCAAACAGAATTTGAAATAGCACAATAGGTGCAATGAAAGAACGAATTTACGATCAGAGACCAGACGGAAAAGGATGGAACAAAGAAAAAGGAAATAGCCCTGGCTGGTTTTGCTCAGCGGTTGGAGTGTTGGCCCGCGGTCCAGAGAGACCCGGGTTTGGTTCCCACTAAGGGCATACACTTCGGTTGCAGTTTGTCCCCGGCCCTGGTTGGGTCATGTGGGTGGCGACCAGTTGATGTGCCTTTCTTGCGTCAATGTTTCTCTCTCTCTCTCTCTTTCTCTCTCTCTCTATCTGAAGATGAATGAAATCCTTGGGTGAGGATTAAAAAAAAGAAAGAAAGAGAGGAAGGAAGGAAGGAAGGAAGGAAGGAAGGAAGGAAGGAAGGAAGGGAGGGAGGGAGGGAGGGAGGGAGGGAGGGAGGGAGGGAGGGAGGGAGGGAGGGAGGGAGGGAGGAAAGCCAAGCCCAAATACTCGGGTGCTGCAGCAGAAGGTGCTGACATCTGACAAGGAGGGTGTCCAGGTGGTGGTGCCCCCGCTCGGCCACTGTCAGACATGGACACCAAAGCCATGTAGATGAAATGACACGCCTGGGACTTCCTTGAGAGAAAAAAAACAAAAAACGTGATGAGCAAAGGAGAAAAGGTCTGGATGCAACAATCTTAGCCAACTGTAGGTAGGAACTGGTCCGCGGGAATTCATTACACTGCTCTCTCCACCTTTATGTGTTTAAAACTTGTCAGAAGGAATTTTAAAAGTTTGAACATAGACTTTTAAAACACCATTTTCATGGTATGCTAAGAGCTAATGGGATTCTTTAAACACAAAGGCAGGTAATGCACACAGAAAAAAATTATAATACTGTAAAGTGTAAATTTTCCAATTTAAAGACGGAAGGAAAAGGTCAAGCAGGTTTTTCGTTGCAGTCAGGTGCTTCCTTAGAGTCATTTCATCGCGGTTCGTGGAAGAGAGCACTTGACGCATCGGCCGACTTCCGATGGCTCACCCTGCTTGATGTTCCTCTTGCACCGGTCACTGTGACATAACTGGCATTTTTGTATTTGTCCCCCATGAAGTGTAAACTCTGTGGGGTCGCAGACATTGGTTTGTCACGGCTGCTCCTGTCCCGTGGCACCAGCCACACGCTGCAGACACGGAAGGAACACGTCCGGAACTAATAAAAACAGCTCATCACCTCCGAGCTTTGCCACACCAAGACCCACACTGAAAGCAGTTTTGATGAAATGCGTAAATGGAGAAACAACCTTTAAGAAATGTTACAAGAGGTTTAGAGTACAAATGATCAATATCTTGGCAAGTTTGTGGTGGTTTTTAAAAAGCTAAGCTCCAAGTAAAAGAGAACATGTGCCCTTAATAACCCAGAATTTTTCAATTAATTAATTAATTTTTATCTTTATTGTTGAAAGTATTAGAGATGTTCCCCCATTTCCCCCACTGATGCCCCCGCCTCTGTGCTCCCATCCCCCCAAGCCTTCCCCACACTATCTCCTGTGTCATTGGTTGTGCACATATACATGCAAGCTCTTTGTTTTATTTCCCCCCCACCCACCCCCACATCCCTCTGAGGTTTGTCAGTCTGAT